TAGAGAAGAGGGTGAGGCAGGGAACGAGGAGTATGGAATTGGGGGGGCTTATAAGACGCCGTGCTTCCCCAAAATCGGAACTATGATACGTAATAAGAAATAGTCAAGGTCGAAGTGGTGATTATATGCTTCTTCGTCGTCGTTGTTGTCGTCCTTGATGTTGATTGACACTTTGTTGCGAGGTGGCAGGTGATCTGGAAGAGCTGATAAGCGTGATTTTATAGGGAAAAAGCCGTACCTGATGCAATGTGTCATGCCATGTCGTTTAATAAATGATAGCTTTATAAGAAAGGACTCAGTAAAGAAGTGAAGAGGTGGGATGGGTCGATACAGAAGCTCTTATCGGCCTTATCAATTGGCCATGGTGCGGGGAGCTTGCCTCGTTGTCGACCAGTACGTACGTTGATTTTTGGTTCCAGTGCTGCAGGTGATGTCACAGTAACGTCCCCTGGGTGGCCCTAGCAAGCCCCTAGCCAGAGTTGTTAGCACCGGCCAAACCCCCTCCGGAGCTGAGCGGTAAGGCTGTACATCATTCGAGTAGGGTGACTGACGGACGGGCGGACAACACTGAAGCTGCATAAAGATCACGCGATTAATACGCGAACCTTGTCAGTATTCAACTCATTCCTCGGGCTAGACTACATAAATTCTACAGAGCTTGAACGAATCAGCTTCAAAGTTAGCTGCAGTCCGGATATTATGCTGGAAATACCAACCGGATGCACATACTTCACTGAGCAATCCTCCAGAAAAGAGCGATTGGCTGCTTTCTATTGACTGTGATACTCACCACCACGACTCCCACGACTACCGCGTCGACCGCCACCAATTACGAGCAGCGCTGGACACTACAGGTCCGTCGAAAATTCCCGCAATGCCATACCCAGACATTATATCTCAACACATAAGAGTGCTTTCACATGTTACCATTCCGGTAGCAAAGCAAACGACTTGCAGCATCGCGCGATTTTTCTCTTTAAACAAACTTGGTCATGAGGAATGTTAACGCTCAGCCATTACACTTCCTACTACGTTGATGAGGCTTCAATGAGTCATACCATATTAGGTGTTGCTCGTGGCTCACAACTTTGCAGTTATTCTGACCCTGACGTCTCATGTGACTCCCGTATCGTAAATGCATGGCTATGCGCCTGAACCAATGTTGTAGGTAGTCCGTATGTGATAGTCTCACCACAATCAAGACTTAACATACCCTCCTTCCGTGACTAGCACTTAGCACGGGCCTTGAGTTCTCTGATGCTCGGCCGGCTCCAATGCAGTGCAGCAGTCAACTGATCATCAACATTATCCTTTAGCTACATATCTTTGAAATTACTCCAGTAAGGGTATTATGTTTCTAGCCACAAAATGTCGCAGTGGTCAACTGCCGTGCCCCGCCAATCAATTGATGCCCTGACCCTGATGCACTTCAGGTACGTACCATTCGCAGCTCTTGCATTGATGTTCACAGCCAACTTGCCATTTTCTCAACATCAACTCTCTCTCATGCATACCAATGAACTATCGACTCGTCCGCGACAATACAAAATGCGGACAGCCACAATCTACAGATAACTCATTGGCAAGTATACTACGAGCCTTTCGGCTTCCTGCCCACCAATCATCATTCATCCACACCCGAGATCTCGAGCCTCGACAATAAACCTACCATGACAAGCAACAGCCAGTCACCCTTCTCCCTACGACCATGGCCGACCGGCGACAAGAAACCCAAGAATCTTACCGAGTTCATCACTTGTGTCAATGCCGAACCGGGCGGTTTCCGAAACCTCAACGAGACGCGATTGCGCCAAGAGATACAAGCCCAAGAACTAGGACAAGCCGAAGACGATGGCGTCGATGCCTCATCTGAGGATGATGATGATGGAGGGGAAGGCGAGAAGACCAAGACTGCTATGGCCGCACGCGAGGAATTCCTAAGGAACATTGAGTTAGTCTCCACCTGCATCCTCGATGCACCAAACGGCACCAAACGGTGTCAAACAAAGCAGCAATCGTTGGAGCGCACACTAACTATTTGCGCCACAGTTTCGCACATCAGTCTGCCATGTTAGCCCTCGATTCTGTCTCTCTCCTTCTCTCCAAGGAAAACCCTGTCCAGGCTGGTACTACACTGTCTCCAGCGCTTCGAGATCTGGTCGGAATTGGAACTATGGGAGCTTCCAAGCTCAAAGAATCCAATATTACAGAAGCCCAAATGCAGGACGACCTCGCCGTCGCAGCCGGATGGAGGATCATAGGTATCAATAAAATGGTTGACTCGGTTCTGGCAGCTGCCGAGCGCTTAGAGAAGGAAATTGAGCTTGAGACTAGGTACTGGGCCGATATTTTGGCTGTCAGTGAGGACGGCTGGACAGTCTGTGCACTACCTCATGAACCCCACACCCTCGGTGTTCGTTTTGGCTTCGCCGAATCAGCGCCTGAATTCAGAAATAGCAGCATCGCACCTTTGATCAGAAACGATGATGGCACCATCAAATTGGGAGTCGGGAAGGTTGGTGGAGGTTCGCAAAGGATACGCATCACAATCCACAAAGATGGCAAAATTCTAGATCAGTCACCACTTCCTCGACGAACACCCGATGACGCGCCTTTGAATGACAGAGTCCGCGAAGCTAGAAACACCATCTTTCATCAGGAATTATGGTACGAACTGAACCGAGAAGCCCGCACTCTCCTTGCTTCGGATGTCTACTACGATGGGCCAACCATCACTTGGAAGCAAGATAAACAGACTGAGTTTATTTTCACACTAGAGGACCTTGCCGAGCGCGACGACAGAAAAGTCAACCTTTCAACGGGTATTTGCTCGTCTATCGCAGCCTATTCTTTTTTACAATTTCTTCTCTTCCAGAGCCATCGGCATAACTACAACAGGCGGACCTCCCCCTCACCGCCGACACAGCAAGGTACTCCCACTTATGATATCCTCCGTGCTTTTATATCCCGGCTTGAGTACTTTAGAAATAGTGCCAATCTCACGAGCCTTCTCGACGAGCTGGTTCTCACATTACGACATGCCGGCATTTCTACAGCATCCTACTCAGCAGCCCTTTCGCTCCACAAGCCGACGGCATCCGGGGCAAATCAAACTCGGCACACCTCCGGTACTGAGCTTCACTGGATACAGCAGCTCGTTGGAAATTTGTCGTCCATGTACACATTCACCATTACACCGGAGGCGCGAATTTGGTGTCAAAGTCGCGGTATTATGCGCCCTATTATAGGGACTTACTATGCTATATTCTTGAAACCCTTGGTTGCGGAGAACCAAGATCTGCCACAAAATCCATTAGAGGATTCCTACCCACCATCAGATCCTCACAAAGAGCCATATATCAATGCCGAGCAAGCAATATATTATATTTGCCAAGCAACAGTCCGAGCTCTCTCCCAGGAACTTGCCAGTAGGGCAGCTGTTGAGCTCTGTAACCAAGACATCCAGTGGTCAGACACAATTTCTGGCACAGGTATTACAGATAACAAAGAGAAACAGGCAAGAATTGACGTTGCCGTCGTGAATAAAAAACTAGTGTTGAGTTTAGAGGCTAAGTGGCACAACGGGAAGACCAGCTGCTCTGGCAGCTGGACATGGGAATCGGGAAACGACAATGCTAGGGGCGAGAGCATAGAAAATATCGTAGTTAAGCTCATGAGAGGAGGCGTATAGGCTCCACTGTTTTATAAACCAATAGCTGATGAACGATGAAGGGATATCAATATGCGCAGAGTTTACTTCCATTTGCTACTTCGTCAATCACCTCCATTAGCATGCTCGAACAAGCCATATTTCTAAGCCAGTTCGCAGCTCAGATAATTAGCAGGAGTAACAGAACTCAATCTGTCAACTGTAGACTACAGTAACAACTCGTTTCTCAACAAGAACCAGGTCTTTCCACTACCTCTTCTTATAGGTGCTCGACAAGTCCTCAGCTTACATAACTTTAGAAGAAGCACAAGTGCGAAGAAAGTCTGCTCTCGTTCGTCCTTAATCTCCCAAAGTAGGAAATCACTTACATGTCCTAAATTTAGAATGCCCAGAGTAAATATTACGTATACATAAGACCGCAATAACGCAGCTCTTGCCATAACCTTGGCTTGTCTTCTAGCTGAACTGTATCAGGAAGCATAAGTACTGAGCTTAGGTACGGGGTAGGCTGAGAAGCTCAGAGAAAAGGAATAGCTATTGGCTATGGTTCACTGGCGCCATGGTCGCTCCTACGAGAGAGTTCTCATTATGCTGATTCTTAATTCCTTTCGGAAGGTTTATTGTTCCTCGGGTTGGACCTAATCTATGCTTATAAACACATACAGCATTTGTAAGGGCTAGATTTTCTCTGGATGTCTTCTCGAAGTACGTATCTGCAAACATGATCTCAGCTCTTGCCGCGTGGGCGAAAGGAGGAGAGAACCGCCACCATACTATATCTTAAAATTACTTTATTCGATCGTGTCAGAAGCGACTCTAACGTTCTCATGATACTTCTCGTGAAAACTGAGGGCCTTTTCCCCTTTTAAGATATGCGTGGAACCTGATAGTTTCTCTAGATGTATAGTTACGGAGTGCGCTGAAAAGCGCGATCGTTCGTATTGTCAAGCACTTGGTATGCGCGGTTTATCGAATGCTTGGTGGTATTTGCGCTATTGTCTTATCGCGGAGTTAAGCGGAAGCGTTTCGTTCGAGTCAGAACATAAGAGCTGAGCTTTTTGGCTCGTCGCCCACCATGCTAGATGACACGGTTTTGGGCTTAATTCAAGTGAGGCAGTGTAACCACTTACCTAGGTGGTAAAATTGGAAGCCGTCAAACAAAAGGGTTTGACGTCAAAACTATGGAAATTTTGCAAGAAAAAAAAGATAATCATAATCGACTCCGAATCGGGGAATCGAACCCCGGGCTTGACGGCACCTTCTTGAGAGCGTCAAATGTTGGCCACTACACCAATTCGGATGTTGTAAAAACAGAAGAAATTGATTATCTTGACCACGCTGGGGATCGAACCCAGAATCTCTTGATTACACTCTATGTTGCGATCGTAGTCAAGCGCTATGCCATTAAGCCACGCGGCCGAATTGATTGAAGATATGGCTGTTGAATGAAATGTCCTCAATCCTATCGACATCAAAATATCCCATCTGCGATCATTAGGACGTCCGCTGAACGAGCCAGACTTATAATACGGATCGCCTGGAAGCAACTTATCTTTTACTTACTAAAGCAAACCAGCGCAATAAGTGGTCGCAAATGAGAATAACTTCCTCTTCATCGTAGGAAAAGCTTCTTGATCCTGGTAAGAAGGTTCTCTACGCGTCTGCAAGACGTTGCCAAAAAACCATCATTGTCAAGTACGGTTCTCTCGTTCGTCTGTATCTTGTTATTACACGATCAATGCCTTAAGCAGAAAAACACATCTACTAGCTAGAAAGCCAAGATCGTTGAGCGAAATTCAAAACTGCAATATTAAACACTCGGTACGAAATGCTCTGCTGGCGCGTTTTAACGGTATGAAAGTCCTATTACCGGTTCCAGATTTAACAGCTGCTCTCAAACCCTTCGTCTGGGATACGGTCTTCATAAAATGTGACGACATAACATGATGCAACGAACACCTCTCCTGTCAATAGATCACAGAACGCCCAGATACCCATATTTTCGGAGTCGGCATCATACATCCAGGAAGCGATCGAAGTGCAAGAGTTGATTAATCTTGCTAAACGCAGGGAACATACCGACTCCTTGATTGATCACGCTATATTGGTCTCAGTCATCCTCCATATCACTAAATCTTGGTGTATAAGATTTCTATGGTCTTGATTGTAGTATTTAAGTCTCGGGAATATGGGCCAATCTCGTTTTCGTCCTCCTAGTCTGGATATATTAATGAAGTTGTATCTCATGAGGAGATCCAATGTCTTCAAGGCACCCTTTACCCCCTGCAAATGTTGTTCTATACGGAGGGAGACTTATAGCTTCACCGATGATGTCATTACATAATCATCATCTCTATCCTTCTTTAAGAAGAATAAGGGGGAATTGGTGGGAAGAAGAGCGCCGCGTGTCACAGGAAAGGCTGTAAATGAAACAACGCCTGGAAAGCCTAAGTCCCGTTAAGTCCAACCTGAATTTAGCTAGCAAAGCTAGTTTAATCATATAATAAAAAATAGCTCCTTACATTAATATATGACTAACTATTTGGCGGATTCACTATTGGTGCTAAAGGAAGGCTATTTTTATTCCATATTAAATCCGAATGTTAAAGACTTAGAGTCCCGACCCGGGTTCCTAGCCAACCCCCCCCCCCCTTTTCTTGGCCACTCATTAATAACATTGATAACAAAACAAAAAGTATAGTTAAAAATAAGCGGTTTAAAGATTCGTATATTATTTATTTTATATATTGTTAATGTTATATAATTTTATTAACAAATGTAGTTTTTAATAGTTTTATTTTAGATTTTTATAAATATTTAAGTTTTAAAGTATTATTAAAGAAAAGCTATATTATTTATATTCGAAATAAAATATAAAGCAAATTATTAAAGTGTTTATTAATTTTTAAAATAAAATAAAAATTAAATATATATATAATTAAGCCAAAAATTAGCTTTAAACTTTAACAATATAAATATCTCGTAAATAATACTATATATAAATCTTTCAACCGTTTGTTTTTAATTATCTTTGTTGTCTTTTTATCAATGTTATTAATGAGTGGCCAACAAAGGGAGGGGTGGCCAGGAACCTGGGTCGGGACTCTAGTATAAAACCCTCCAAGCCTAGACCGTTTAGGATCTGAACATAGAGTCCTTTTTGCTCCCTCTAACTCACTACAGGAGCTTTTGACGTAACTGGAATTCCATAAGGTTTAAAACAAAGTTATAAAACATAGTTTGACCAGAAAATATCTATTCAGCTTTATTCTCAAGTACGAAATTGAATCTTCAGATGCTAGAAGGCGAGTATAAAGTCTTGAATTTACTTGCCGTCTTTTATTTTCTCCACAACGAACTCATTGATAAGTACCTTTAATATCATCCTACTGACGCTTAGACTATGGCCGTTCTATGATCATGTGAGAGCCATCTGTTTATTCCACAAGGCATTTCTTAGTCCACGAGACGGAAATAGTCGGTAGAATCCCCGTTCTCATATGGTGTCCCGGTGACTTCCCAGTCTCCCCTAATGAAATAGAGGACCTCCGGGCCTATGAAAGTTTCATCGCCACCTGAGGGCTCTACTTTCCAGGTATATGTTCCATTGGCGAGTGGCAGAGCCTCTGAATGCAAAAGTTAAAGCTCTTAATTGACTAGTAGAATCAGTGAGAGATTCGTTGTACTAACCCTCAAGAACGACGTCCCTCAAGTCATACAGCCCTATTTGAGATCCGAAGGGCCCCGGGATGTAGCCGTAGGGGGTTTGGTTCTCAGCTCTTAATGTTAGAATGAATGTGGCTGCAGGTGGATTGGTGATTTCCCACTCCAGTACGAGGTCGGTACCGATGGTGTAATTAGGGTGGCCCGGCGGTGGGCTCGTGAAAAACGCCCGTGATGTGGCAGCGAGAAGGGCTGAAATGGCGAGATATCTCATCTTGACTACTGATGGTCTCTTCAGAGGGTCTGAAAATGGAACGGAGTTGTTGCATAGTATAAGCTGAAAGTGCTGTGACGACTGCAAGATGCGATATGCTTATATATATATGACAATTGAGCTCGCGCCGAACGCGCCGTGTTTACGAATTTCCGAAATTCGAAACCATTACATTCCCATAAAGGGCAATATCGTATGGTGCTTTCATGAAAGGCAGGTCAATCGTCAGCCGATACAAACTCTGCACTTGTCCTTGCGGCGGCTGCAGATGATGCTGTAGTCCGCAGTGTGATTAATATAGTAAGCACTTCGCACATGATTCGTATGAGTGGCGTATTTCTGTGTTGCATCCTTGTATCTTCGCATCCTTGTATCTTCGCATCTTCGTATATTCACATCTTTGTGTCAGTCCATTCTAGCTAGCATCTCTCTAAGGGAAAAGATCGAAGCGGAAGCGGAATTAGGCCTTAACTATCAGCTATCGGAGTTAAGCCGTCAACTATCAGCTATGAGGATTAGCTCAACTATCTATCAGCTATCGGAATTAGGCCTTAACTATCAGCTGTAATCAATCGTATGCAGTTAGGTTATATTCAACCTATTAGGCAGTTAATTAATAGAACAGTCATCAGTCGCGAGTACAGCATGACAACCTCGCTCATAGAACAAGAGTATTTGACCAATTAAATCGCAATAGTAGACTCTATTTTCGGATCCTAAAATCTCAGTCTTAGGCTTCCATACTAACTTCTCAACATTTAAATGCAAACTTGAGCTCTGCCGGAGAATTAACGGTGATGCACCCTTCCCCCAAACAGCAATCGTTTCCCTCGCCAGTAGGGCTTTGCGAATTTTGCGCGTTGTTTGTGATATTCTAGATATAATATCAGTTTCATGGATTAATAGTATTTACCGCCATAAGGGTGATATCTAACAAAGTATAAATCCCAATGGGTATTAATAAGACGAAGACCTGCTATTCAAAGGTATAAACGATTTCTAACCTTAATGGCAGACGATGTATATAACCAAGAACTTTTTTTTTTTTTTTTTTTTTTTTTTTTTTGAAAAAAAAAGAAAAAAAGTTGTTGTGCCTCACTTTCGTATTACGATTCCGTATACCGTACGCCATTATCTAATTATTCGCTTTAGTAATTACGTCTATTTACCTCGTAGATAAAATGCGACCGTTCGTATTTATTCCAGTAATTAAAACCCGTTGGAAAACCATCATAAATTTCAACGAGTGCTAATAGCGCCTCCTAGCTTCAATCGAAAATAGATTATAGGAAAGTGCTTCAGTCATACATGTTATCACGTTATGTGCGATCCTCGGTTCTTTGTCTATAGTGTTATCCGAGGTAGTTCCAGCTTATCTATTAACGTGCCGTACGTAAGTATAATAAGTATTGAGTATGCGTTTTATTTCCGAAGGTCCGGCCTAAATTTTCTTTATGCCCCGTTTGTCGAATATATCGAAACCCGACTTTGTCGAGACTACCGACGGTTTAATACCTGTTAATGCAAACAGAAAACACCGCATAGACTTTAATTGAAAAGCGCCATTTTTGCACTAACAGTAGGTGCCAAAAAAAGAAGTGGTAGGAGGGAAGCGAGGTAATATTAGTAGGCCGACGAATAACTTAACTCCATTGAACTGGTAACTTTTGAGTTCTATTGCGAATTAAAGTAAGAATGGATGAAATGCCACGGTAGTAACGTCCACCGAGTCCCCTACCTTAAGGGACTGAACTTTTGAAAATTTCTTAAGGCTAAAGAGTTTAAAGAGCCTTATTCGTACTATAAGGCGGGTATTGTGACAATTAGCTGACGTTCTAGCACATTTACACTTACTTACCTTAACGACTAGGCGGATTGATTGATTAATATTGTTCAATGTAGTTATTTAAGCCTCATCAGGAGCATAAATGTGATATAATATCTGAGCTTTTTATGAGCACACATCATTTTAAACCTCTAGGGTGGCCATATCGAGCCTTTGGATACATATTAGGGTCTTCCGGTCCTCGTTTAAGGGTTAGGATGGCCAGGAATCAATGATTTTAGCCCTGACACCTAGTATCCACCGGCATCCCAACAGCCATTAGGCTTTTATTCACTCTGTGGCCAAATCACTTGACAGCAAGTACCGCTATATGTGTACGTCGGGCGGTGTCGCAAATGTTGCCAATGGCAGCGACTAGGCGGATGACGTGCCAATGGCGTAGCTTAGGGCTTTCTGGGAGTTTTTGGGATTCTGAGCTACACACCGTGCTGACAGCCTGCCGGAGAGTGTAGCCACTCGAAGAGCCTTAATCGTCGAACTACTCAGTGCCCCTGTAGATTAATACTGCCTCTTCTTCAATAGTTCTAAACTGTCTAGGTAAGAGAATCGTGATTGGGACATTATAAAGAAAGGAGGTATACCTTGGCTGGCAAAAGAGCTTGCAGAACCGATACATATCATGAAGGAGCGACACTC